ATACACATGACATAAGCAATAAATAAATAAGAAGTAGAGACTCTGGATCGTAGCCGCCGATCTGCGCCGTCGGCGATGGTACACGTGTCGAAATCGGATGTCCCCATCAATATATATATATGTGTATATATATACATATATATATATATATATATATATACATATATATATATGTGTATATATATACATATATATATATGTGTATATATATACATATATATATATGTGTATATATATACATATATATATATGTGTATATATATACATATATATATATGTGTATATATATACATATATATATATGTGTATATATATACATATATATATATGTGTATATATATACATATATATATATGTGTATATATATACATATATATATATATATATATATGTGTATATATATATGTGTATATATATACATATAAATATATATATATGTACCTGATATACAACTCATGAATGCTCTGGTTAGTAAAAGAGTCATTTCACTTTGCACTTTGTGCATTGAAGCAAAAAAAATAACTTTTTTTGCTGGCATTATGCTTAGTACTTTAAAAACATTGATAACAAATGATAGTGGGGGTTGCACCGTTAAAGAAAACATAGTAAAAAATATAAAGGTGATGCGTGCTTATTTCATGGAGGGAACAATATGCACTTATTAGATTACTCAATAAAAATTATATATATTAAAAAAAAAAGTTGATATACCAAATAGAACACAGCTGCAATTAATGCAACTAGAATTACACAAGATAGGGTTAACGGCTCATTTGGCACTAAATAGATAAAATAATAGGATTCATAAAGCCAACTCCAAATAGTTGGATTTTAGCTAATGATGAAGACAGCCCATTTATCTTAATATCACTTATGAATATACATTATGAATTACTAACTCTAGTTACAAAGAGACGGCTTACTTATGAATACTTGCTTGGCCTCCAGTAAAATCTGAAGTTGCCTGCCATAGCGTATGCTTTCTTGGTTGAGGATTGGTTTCCCTAAAGAAAAGAGGTCGTCTAGCAAGCTAAAAGGAATCAAAAGTATTAGCAAAAAGAAGAATGTGCAGTAATTTTAAAACCACGCCTTGCATTCAATTCTTACCACTATATCCAAAGTTGCAGGGGCATTTTCTGGGCAATTTGCTTTCAGTGCCGTAATATCTGACCATTGGATTTCAATCTTGTTCTTTAGTCCACCATCAAGAACCTCCCAGACAAGCTTATGTTTTGCATAGTAGCATTTTGCAACTAAATCACCTTCATACCTTGAAACATACTGCATAACTAGGTCGATTAGTCAGATGATGAAACTATGAGATGGTAAAAGAACAAAGGAAAACAAGTCAAATGCATAAGAACTAATTATAATGGCCAGCATCAGCAGTTTACCTCCCTTGATAATAAGGGACCATGTGAAGTACACAATCAACTTGAATTCCAAATACTAAAAAGGTAAGAGCATTCGCTTCAATATACGTTTCATACCCAAATTCATACTATAGCTGAAAAAAATGAATAACAATAGAATAATATTACAAAAAGTTCCCACTGCCAAATGAAAAAGTACCCGATAATCCATTCACCAACAATTACCTTAACCCGTCCATATGCATGACCAAACACATCAAAACACATTTACATAGATTTTGATTATTACAAGAAACTTCTGTTCATCTCAGGATTGAAAAAGTAATTGATAATCTGTTTACTTCTCTATATCATGTGTGTTTCGCTTATTCACTTAAGCATCATAGTAACACAAGCTTATGGACTTCATTTTTGCATAAACCATGTGGTTTGTTTGGTTACTATTTCTAACACTTTATGTTTTATGAATTACAATGGAATAATATTAAACAAATGAATTTGGGTATGGAATAATTTTTTTTAGATGATCCAATTCGTTTGATGATCAGTTCTGTTATGCCGGCATGGTAATGGAAGATAGGATCAATGTTAATATGTCAAATAAACTAAATTTTCAAAAGTTTTAAAATCTTTAAATAAAATAAATAAAAAAATAAAATCCTTTCTAAAAATTAGAAAAGAAAAAACAAAAAGGGGTCGTTCAAATTATCAAACTAATAATGAAAAAATTGGAGAAAGTAAATCAAATTTTCTTATTTGAATTAAGGAAAGAAAAAGTATATGAACCGAATGAAAACAAAAAAGATTTCAAAAGAAATAATAATTCTTCACGAATCGTCCGTTCTAAATCGAACAATTAATTGGTTAAATTATTCACTAGTAAAGGTTTTAGATTTAGCAAAATCATAAGAGTGTAAGAGATGAGATCAATGTTGAGTTGTTAAATAAGGTTTATAGTAGAGGCTTTAGATTTAGCTTAAGCAATGTAAAGCGGGTGAGATATTAATTATCACTTAAGGAAAAAATAGCGAATAATAACAATGATTTGCATAGATCTACAAAAGAGAGATTATACAAGTAAAGAGATAAAAGATAAATTTTCTAAAACTACAATAAAGTCAATTGTTTTGTATGAATGTAGGCATCAGATGATAAAGATAACGTTGATAGTCAAGCTAAGCATGACACATATTAACAATTGAAAATGAGTTATGATGAAGATAATGGAATACGTCAAGAGAGAATGATAGACTAAGTACAAATAATACTGGGAAGTAAGTTCTGCAAAATGCAAGTAACTATAAAGAAGAGGTCTAGTAGAACAATCACCATTGAATAAGATTTCTAGAGAAGGAATTCTTTGCAAATATTAAAAAACTAATTATTAAAGGGTTAACAGAACTGAGATAGGGTTGAAGGAATTCTTTGCAAATATTAAAAACCTTCAGCATAGTATTCGCAAAAATGCCTAATCATACGTTGGATCTACCAATACTCCCTAAATGCTGCAGCAAGGCAGCTACCACCTTCTCAACTCAATACAACAATGTGCTAGAAGATGTTAAGAACAAATTAATAGCCTCCAATGCACACTATAAACGGTTGGCGGACCGCCACAAACACAACAAACTATTTGAACCAGGAGAATCGGTAATAGTGCGTCTTCGTCCAAAAGGTTTCCACCGGGGACTTACTCTAAATTGAGCCGTCGCAAGATTGGTCCACTTCTTATAGTCACCAAAATCAATAATAATGCATATGTGGTGGCTTTACCAGCAGACATCAATACTTCTTCCACCTTTAATATTTCAGACATTTACAAATATTATCCACCAGACAACGCTCTAACTGATGTTACTTCGCCGGAGTCGAGTTCTTCTGACGTTGGAGGGCACTGATGCTAAGCAACATACTTATAATATACTAAGGAATAACTTACCTCCACTTGTTCTCTTTATTTTGCTTTCTCAACTACTTGCAATTTCCTTTTTGCTGTATGAAGGACAGTTAGTTATCTTTTTGAGGTCAGTACTAGTTTTACCTTATCAGGTTATATAGAGAACAGGAGAGGAAAAGAAGAATAGAATACATAGAAAACAATTTCTAGTTTCTGGAATCGTTCTTGTTTTTGTTTGGTTGCTTCGTTTCTTTCTGCTGGAATCACATCAACAAGGACGCATAGATAAGTGGTTCACTAGTTTCCTCACTACACAATATGTTCAGGATTCCAAACAAATGGAAACCACTTCTTCTCATTTACAAAAAAAAAAAAAAAAAGATCATTATTCTCAGCGCATTAATAAATATATTAGATAAAAAATTGATCTTTCAAAAGAAGCATGATGCGTCATAAGATGTAGTTACACAAATAATATATCAACAAGTCAGAAACATAAACTCCACCAAAGCATCTCCAAAACAATTCAAGAAACAGTAGTAACCCGTAAAAACAGGAAAATATATGAATATTAAAACTGCCTTCCTTACCTCCCAATTCCCAATCCTTAAAATGGAAGCAGGAAAGTTTGAGGCTTTCATCTTGTCAAGGCCACCTGAAACAGCTGTAGATTTCAGTTCCTTCTTTTTCCCAATCTCTAAGCCAGAGTTCGTTGCAGATGATGTAGAAACGGAATTTTCCTGGCATAGCCTCATCTGAATCATATCCAAGAAAGATGGACTCTTTTTTAACCGCAGACCCAGTGGGCTGGGCTCATCTAATGGATCATAAAGTGGACGAGGTGGCATGACCAGCTTGCTTTCCAGCTGCTATACATGAAAACAGGGAACCGAAAAAGCATTCCAATTAACCCTAAAACGATGATTTGCAGAACTAGTCGTAAAATAATATCACATGCTTAACAAAATGCCTCCAAAAGGTATATCATGAAAACAGATAACGAACAACAAAACCACGGATATGCAGAGCCTCAGAAAATAACATTAGCCATGCAAAATTGCAAATAGAAACCAAAGTCACTGAATAGTTAGTTCAAGTATACCATCCTCTTGTGAAAACCCCATTTTAATATGTAAAACCTTCAAAGGAAACCCCATTCACAACACCGAATTCCTAGAGACTGACTAAAAGAAGACGAAAAAAGAGTAAAATCTTGACAAGACAGGAAAAAAAGAACTAACAACACTAGTGATCACAACCACCAAACTAGATTCAACGAAAACCAAATTCCCTGTGGAGATTCGAAGAAAATCCTGGGAATTAAACAGAAAAAACTACAACGAGCCAAAACACCCACAGAGAAAATCGGGATACCTGTTCTGCCGGCTCAGCCATCTTTAATCTCTTGTCAAGAGGACCGTACATTTCATCCAAGGGATCCTCGATCTCCGCCTTAACCGTCTCCGGCGCCGCCGGCATCGTCGTAAAGAGTTGCTTCGACTCTGGCCGGAGCTTGCCAAAATTAGTCAGCTGAACCATCGTAATCACTACGCAAACAGAACTATTCCGTTTCCCCTGAGAAAGAATACTCAAGAGCACAAAAAAAGAGACCCTGCCCTAACCCTAGGAAACCGGCTGCGTCGGAGAAACAGAGGAGAAAGACGTGGCGGAGAAAACCTCTTTCGCTGAGACCCTTTCTTCCTCTCTATTGTACGTAAAAAATTTACCAACTTGCAGGGGGCCTTTATATAAAAATGTTGCTCTGTGGACTTCGCAAATCGGCCTGCTGTCACGCACTCCTCACGTGCTGTAATGGCTTTCCCACGTGCCTATTATTTCTTGAACGGCGTGCCGCGGATCCTCCACATCAGCTAACTTAGAAGCGTAGGTTTGACTACGTGGCCAAATCATGTTGAGTTAGGAATGGGACCCACTATCCGCTACCGTGGCGGCGTGGATAAGGTGTAGATTGGGATTTTTGCAGCAGACCAAAAGCAACCCACGACTGTACTCCATTTTGGGACCAGCGAAGTGCTAATACTTGGAGCTGTGTTGTGCTAATGGTTAAGTAAAATAAATATTTTTTGTTTATTTATATAGTTAACATCAATTTTTTTTATTATTATTATATTTCGCGAATCAACTGTGATAACATCTATATATCTATATATTCATCATACCCATGCTCCAAATATAAGAATTTAAGATAATAATAATAATAGTATTATTATTATTATTAAATATTTATTTTTTTATAATTATGATAGTATTGAAGAAGAATTTATTGCCTTATCACTAAAGGAATATTAAGCACACAATTAAAATTTAAAAATGTAATTGGCTATGTAGAAATCAACAACCGTGAATATCTCCTAGGTGGTGGTGAAAGGTATTAATGTAATATGGGCTCAATTTTGATATCACACCATGAGACAAACCAAGCTTCATCCTAATCTTACTTGGAAATTTTCCTACATTTAATTATTTTGCAATGTGTTCTTTTACAATCTTTATTTGTAATTTTCAATTTCTAATTTTTTGTACTTGGATGTAATTAAGAATATTTTCTATGTATAAAAGAAGACCATGGACTAAATATTTAAACCCTAATTATTGAATGGAATATTGAATTTCTTCAATTATTGACATTTGTGCTTCCTCTTGTTCCTATAATTTCTTTGCTTCTCTTCTTCTATCAATTCTTCTTCTCCTATCCTTATCCATCCTCATGTATTCTTTTATTCTTCTCTTAATTTCACAATAATGATATCAAAGCCTATTAATCCATACATCGAAACTTTCATATTTCATTATATATACCAATTCCATATGTCCTTCTCATTCCATATCTTTAGCAAATAGTCCCATGTCTTGATATGCCCACCCACCACCATACTTTTCCATTGTTGTCGACCTCTACATCTATCATCAGTCACTCTACCTCCTCTTGATTGCAAAATTCCCGTGTTTGACTTGAGATTTAATAGAAGAATTGAATTTTCTAAATCGAGATTTCTCATCCGTAGTATAATATATAAGAGATGTTTAAATAAGCAAAAAACATACTTTTAAATAACTATGAAACATTCAAAAAAAATTCCAAAAGGATCATATAAACATAATACAATACAATTTCATTATATACATCAAAGTATAAAAGATTGATTACAAAAAATACTGTTGTTGCGTGCTAGAATATATGCGGCGGTAGAGTTTGTAAATTCGCATCCGAGCATTGTACGAGTATTCAGCACACAAACAGAAAAGAGAATATGAACACCATAATTTTTACGTGAAAAATCCAAAAAGGGAAAAAACCATGAGGCCTCGCCCAGTTGAAAAATTCCACTAGTGTTTTGCAAATTACAAATGACTGATTCGTCCCACAAGTCGGGGAAATCATATTATAATTCGTTTCTCCAAGCAAGTTTACAAAGTTTTACAAAATTCCGGCATTTCCCAAAAATCCGGCAGAGTTCCGGCATAATTCAGGCGGCGGGAAGAGCTCTGGCGGTGGTCGAGGAGGAGATGATTCTCCCTTTCCCCTTTCTCTTCTTCTTCTCTCTCTTCACTTGAGTCTCCTTTTTGTAGAAAGAGGGTTCTATTTATAGTTTTTTCTGGAGTAGCATGGCTTGTAAATAGGTGTGAGATCAGGGGCGAATAGGGAGTGGTTTGAATGGACAGCCGATATTGAACCCTTCAATCGTGCATCGTTCGTTGGACATTTGGAGGCCTTAATGATGTCGGAATTAGGCAATCTTGGGCTCGTTGGATTCGTCTCGTCGAGCCGCTTTATTCGAGTATAAGCTCGTTAAAATTGAAGACCATTTAGTAACTCAAATTGTGGTTTGAACCTTCCAACAGCGCTTCGGGTCCTTGATTTGGACTCATTTGGGCTCGGATCGGGTTGAATTTGGTGTTGTTGGGTTTGTATTTCCGAGACGCTCAGTTTGACCATAAGCTTGCTGAAATCGGAGTTTGAATGCTCTTGATTTTGATTTTTGAAGTTTCCGGTTAGATTTTACCTCGAGATTCATGCTTGATCAAGATAATTTTTTAAGAATATATCAACTGTAATAAAAAAGTTTACTTGATTTGTCTCCAAAGACCTAACTCTGTCAGACCCTTTCCTTTTCTTGAAATATTAAACATCAATAGAATGAGTATTCTCAACTCAACAGACATACACAAGTCCTATTGTGAAATTTAGTACTTATATTTTTAATTTATAAATAAAAAGGCTCAAGTATTAAATTCAAGTAAATAAAAATTAATGCTTGCTTTTCTAGAAACAAGTCATATTCGTTTACTTTTTACACACACACACACACATATATATATATTGCTCAAGATAACAGAAGACTCGAGACTGGGTAGAATAGGATGTGAAGTCTGTAACTTTGTATTTTTTCTTTTTCTTTTCTTGAGTCTGACCACAAAATGTGCAAGCAAACTGAGTAACCACGCACACACATAGGGGGAGAGTTTTTTAAAGGAAATTTTATTTTTCCTGTAGATCGTACTGTACTATTTTAAATTGTATTGTATGATATACTGTGGCACAAATGGCTATATTCTGTGAACTAATCGTACTGTATGATCGGCATCGAACTGTACAATCGACATCGAACTGTAAGATCGGCATCGAACTATACGATTTATTTTCAATCTGAAATCCTAACCACCAGATTAATTTAAGCAAGTTTTTAAATTGTTAAATTTTGAACTAATCGTAATAGACGATCTTATTGTATTATATGATTATTTGAATACTTGCTCAAATTAACACTCAAGATTAGTTAATTAAAATCAAGGTTTAATTAATGATTGGTAATCATACTATACTACCCCATTTGTACTGTATGATGAATCGAGACTATTTTTGGTCATCCCGTAGATCGTACTGGACGATACCTTAATTTTGTACTAATCGTACTAAACTATGTATATATTGTACCGGATGATCTGAAGATTTTAACATATCATATTGTATGATTTGGATCGTACCAAATGATGAACAGAAACAAATTTCTCTCATTTCAGTATTCATCATGTATGAACAAAAGAAATTTATCACATCGTACTGGAAAATATTTTTATCATAATGTATGATGCAGTTTAAAATTATTGCTTGTCCGTACTCCTTTGTACCAGGATGAAAGCTATTTTGAATTGATTGTATTGTACGATCTTGGATCGTACTATACGAACAGAAATGGCTAAATTAAAAATTTAGGGTTTCTTAAATCCTGATATTTAAGTATTGTTTGTGTCTTTTTGAAATAAGAGAGGAACGTGACAAGGGAGAACTCTTGAGAGGGAGCTACTTAATGAGATTTTTGGGTTTGTGAGAGGAAGGAGAAGGTGAGTTTCTGAGGGAGGAGTGTGAGGGGATCACACGATTGCTCCAAACGTGTTGCACGCTTGCTCCTCCTGTGGCTCGAGAAAATCTTGTGGGAGCTCACTAAGGGGGAGAGCCTTCAAGGTTCGTGTCCTCAAAGGTACTATGCCTTCTCAAGGAGGGAGAAAAATGAGAAGGTTCGCTGTCATCATCGGGAGGGTGACATAGCATTTGGTACTTCGCCACGGGAGAAGGTGAAAATGAGTTTGTGTAAAGGCTTCTCAGTCTGCTGTGTGGGCAGAAGAAAAAATACTTTTGAGTAGTAAAATTTTTGGAGTGGAAGACTCCGGGGAGAGGATGTAGGTTAAGTGATCGAACAACTATAAATCTTCTTGTGTGCTTTTTTCATTTATCGCACTTTACTTACTTTTTGCATCTTATAATTTCTATAACTACTTGGTGAAAATTCTATTCTAGATTTTTGTTGTGTGATTTAAAATTTCATCACTTATGTTGCAATTGTGTTTTAAATTTTAATCACTAGCTTCCACTTCAAGTTAAGTTTTTTTTTAATTAAAAAAAATAATATAACTCCTATTTAGAATTGCTTCTTTATTTCAAAAATTTCCAATTCGGCCCTCCCCCCTCTTGGCGCATCTCGTACTTTCAATATGTATATTTCTTGTACTTTTACATGACTATTAGAGTGTACTAATTTTTGAAATGAAATATAGTATGTAGTTTCATTCACATATTCACAAAAACCTCCGAGCATTTGTATAGGAATAACAAAGTATACCAACTTCCATAATGTTCTTTCATAACTAAACTTATTATATTTATCATAATGTCATTTATATTCAATTTTTTATTTTATTTAACAAAATATTCAATAATATTCAGAGTGATATGCATATCTTGATACATGTTTATAACTTTGCTTATAATTATGCCTCCCATAATCAACATCCACTAGGTGAAGATAAAAATCATGAATCCCTATATAACTTACACACCTGTATCATATAGATGGGGCCAGAAATAACCTCCCACATCTACTTAGGACATATAGGGCTATAATCATAAGCAAAGAAAAATGGAAAATCATGATTGTTTAATAAAATATATAGTATTCTTTATTAGTCTTTCATATCAGACCGTATGTCATATGATCCTTGAAATATCATCAAAAAATCATCTTGATCGGGCATGAATCTCATGGCAAAATCATGTTGGAAGCTTCAAAAATTAAATTTGGAACCATATAAACTCTATTTTAAGCAAACTTATAATCAAAATGATTGTCACGAAAATACTAATCCAATGACACCAAATTCGACTCAATCCAAGCCTAAATGGGTCCAAATTAAAGACCTGTAGCATGTT